CGCATGTCGCCAGTTGCTGTACCGCTGTTTGCAGGCATGACAAAGTGACAAGAAGACGAGTTTGAATTTAAGCCAACCAAACTCTGCTCGTCGAGTGCGACAGGAAGCAGGGCATCTGGTACGTCGACCGCACAGAATATAGGGGCTGGATCTTTGACGACAATCTGGAGACCCCACGGTGGGTTTGGACACAGGCGGGAGCCCCTTGGTCAAAACCGTGGTCTACCCGCCTTACGACAGCAGGTGGCGGCAGACAGGAGCCAGAAAGATGGACCAAAAGGGAATTGGACACCTAGCGAAGCCATGCATGCAGGAGGAATGCCTAGACAAGGACAAGCAGACATTGCAAACAATGGATAAGTTGGCGAAGATTGGAGAACAGGAGGAAAAGGCCTTCTACTCGCTCGGAGGAACAAACAAACCAAAGCGTAGATGGGGGAGCACCAGCAGCAACAAGCAGGGGGCACCCCCCAACAGGGCAACAAACATTGTGATGAAAGACGGGGAGGGAGAAGGTCACAAATGGTGGGAGGAAGACGGAATTGAACAGGCCAGTCAGAAGGGGGAGGAGGATCAGGGGCAACCAGACGAAGAGGAAGAAGAAGGCGACGAGGGGCAGAAAGATAAGGAATGGCTACAGCAGGGGGTCAAGGATCTGGAGCAGGTGAGAGAGCTCGAGTTCCAACTACAGCTGGCTCACCAGCAGTGCAGCCGCAACGTGCAGCAGGCTGGGGCAGGAACATCAAAGAAGAGAAGCCGGCAGTCCAAACCGGGAATAGGTCCAAGGTGCTGCAAAAGGAAAGCGAGATGTCAAAATTTATGGCGCAGCAGTACGGCCTCAAAACCAGAGTGGAAGGAGACACTCTCCACATGGACAATCCGGCATATGCTCATCAGTTTCAATGGCCAGACACCTACACAGACAATGCAGAACTGCGTACCAAACCCAAAAGCGGTAAGAGGGCGCCGGGCACGACAGAAGACAACTCTGATGCACAGACTGAGCCCAAAGCCCAGACTGAGCCCGGGGGGGCTGCAGATCTGCGTAGGCAAAAGTGGATTGTTGAAGCACAAGTGGCCTCGCTGACGGCAAAGAACAAGAAGTTCGCCGACAAGCATCTGTCCTTGCAGAAGATTGCTGAGGGACAAACGACTGCAGTTGAACGGCCAGAGTAGATGCCAATAAGAATAAAGACAGGAGGTCTCATCCTCTGCTGCTGGAATACCACCCACAACAAGTGCGAAGTGGCACTGCTCAACACCGGATCCCTTATCCCTGTGTTATGAACTTGGTTGTCTGACGATTTTTACTGCCACTCACACACAGACAATCTCATACACGCCCATACATGCATAAGAGGAGGGGGAGAGGAGACAGAGTCCACACTGCACACAAATCAGAGTAGGCAGCGGAACAGCTATGCACAGATGGGGAGAAGACACACAGTGCTTCTCTCTCTCTGACAACTCCCAACAGCCAATCACAATTAGAACCTGCGAGGATAACAATTGAAATGACACTGAAGTTGAGCCAACTCAAACAATTATCTTACCAGGATTTGTTCCAGTATCTCGCCACTCTCAGAACTCACACCCCACTCTCTATCCTACACCCAGTTAGTAGCGCCACATCAGAATAGCCTCCCAGAGGCCAGCGCCAACCACCCTGATGAAGAACAGGTCATGCGATGAAGTCTTCAGTGCCGATGGACAACTCTGACGAAAGAACAAGCAGCTATGGCTGCCACCACCCACGAGTATACAGTGTAGAGCCTCGATGTAGCCCGGCCATACGCAGATACCCCCGGGGTAGGTGCGCTGAGGATGCCCCAGCTATGGCAGACTCAGACTGGGTCGGCTATGGTTGCTGTCAACGGCGAAGTCTTTGGATGCCGCCTACAGACCAAACACCGTCACCAACTTGCTTGGCTTCTCCAACGCTGCTTCGCGAGAAATGAACTGCCAAAAGTCCTGAACCAATGGGCCTAACCTATCTATAGAGTCTAGACTATACTAGACCTAGACCGGACTGACTGACCGACCGGTACTGTTTCTGTTTCGGCCTCTCGGCCTCTACCGGACCCGGCTATAGGCTATAGGACCGTCTATCAGTATAGGCCACTTAGGGCCTGTCTGTCCTAGGGGTARCCCGGGCCTGCTATTCGCAGTTAGGGTAGTAGTAGGAAATTCAGTTAGTGTTAGGGCTATATTTTCCCAAATTTGCAGATATGTCCCTCATGAATTTCCTCACAGTTAGGTCTCTCGGTTAGCCCTCAGCCAACCAAAATTACGAATCTAACCCTACCGGTTAGTGTACAACCTCGCAGTCAGTCCCGACAATCAAAATCAGCAAGTCATTGCAGGCTTACCCTCCCTGGGAGCGAGGACCTTCGAGCTAGGGATGTAGGCGAGGTGAACGGCGAGGAAGGTTGCCCTTCTGAGCCGCTTCATATCGCAGCACAATAGACTTTGCTGTCTTGAGAAGTTCCCTTCTGTAGAACCATCTGCTCTCAGAAGGAAGCTGGAAAGCGAACCTCACAAGATACTGTCGGTCGGGGTCAGTGCCCCACTCATCCTCAATGCGGTCGATGTCATATCCCTTGCCAGGGATTGGTGGACCAAACTGACGAGGCCGGTCTGGGAATGCATCAGCTGGAGTGAACGGCAACAGCTTAGATGCATGAAAGACCGGGTAGGTGCGTAGATGCAGCGGGACGTCAATAACATACGACGGACCGAAGGGATCAGCGCCCACTGTATCTAGGACCTGCCATGGACCCAGGTAACGTGGCAACAACTTGGGAGAGATATCCTCCTCCCTCGACAGCTCGGAACTGGCCACCCAGACATGATGTCCAGTGCGGATGGGGGAAGGCCGCCTGTGGGGATTAGCTTGTTCAATCATAGCCTTTTGGGCTTTGAACAAGTTCGCGTGGGCTCTTTCCACATCTAGACGATAACGTATGGGGAACTCTGTTGTGCCTGGTGTCAGATCAGGCTTAGCCTTATCGATGATGTCATTGAGAGGCTGTCGTGGTTCACGCCCCCAGTGTAACCGGTAGGGAGTGAACCCTGTCGAGGAGTGGACAAACATGTTGTACATGAGTTGTGCCCTCGCCAAGTGAAGATCCTAGTCCTGTTGATCTGGAGAGATGACAGGACGCAGCAGCTGGAATAAGACTTGGTTCATCACTTCAGCCAAACCATTGGCTTCGGGATGGTGACCAAAAGTCATGTCCAGTCGTGAGTGCAGATAGTCCTTACAGTAGGACTGCCACTCATCGCTGCAAAATCTGGGGTCTCGATCACTGACTATAGAGGTGGGTGGTCCATGGTGTGTGACCCACCTCTCAGAGAAGGCTGCTCTCACAACCGGTACTCTAGCTACCTCTGGCAAGGGGATGAACTCTGCGTATTTGGAGAACCTGTCCACGCAGACCATAACCTGACGCATGCCACGAGGGGTGGTCTTGCCTAAATCTGTGAAGTCTATCGACACAGATTCAGCAGGGCCATCAGGTATGGGTAAGGGTTTGAGCAGTCCCAAAGGAGGTCTACGCTGGACCTTATTCCTTTGGCAGAGCTCACAGGTGTCCACATAACGCAGCATATCACTCCGCATCTCCTTCCAGAAGAAGCGCTGCGACAGGGCTGCATAAGACTTTAGGAACCCAAAATGTCCACGGGCATCATGACACTCTGACAACAGTAGTGTTCTGAGCCGCTGGTCCTGGGGAATGCACAAGCACTCCTCCCCTCTACTGTACGTATACAGTAGGGCTGAACTCAGAGCATAGCCTGGTTCAGAGTTAGGATCTGCTTGCAGATTCCTGACAATGGGTCCGAAAGTCTCGTCCTGAGGCAGTAGACGAGCAATGGTCTGACGGGTCTCCTCTCCAACACAAGCGGTTATCGGGTAGCTGAAAATTCAGGAATGAAAATTCTGAAGTGAGAGTTTTGGGCAGTCTGAAAATCCTGAATGGTCCTGAAGTGGTGAAAGGTCCGAAGACCCTGAAAACCACCTGTTTAGGCAGGCTGC